GGGGATACGTGGCGTACTTCCTGTTGTTTAGAAGCAGGCGCCGTTGTAACGCTTCAAGTTTCTAAACCTGCTGAAGCTCTTGGATAGAGGTGCCTCAAAGGTTATAAGCGCTCCGCTGCTCACATGTGAGTGCTGATCCAAGGTTCGCTATCTTGATCAAGCACGCCAGGCTCAGACCTGCATGACTTGCGCACGATGTCAGCATGTTGAGGTTCATGTTGCTGCTTTGAACCGGGATATTCGTGGGGAAACGTGGGGAAACAAGTGGATCATTACGGACATCCCTTTACAATCCGTCTAAGCCAGAAACAATTAGGTTCTCCATTACGTCCCTAAATCTATCTCAGGTGTGACTACAGCAACAAAAATCAGATATATGGTCATTTCCATACATGGTGGGATCCCAATGATAGACCCCAAAATACGTTAATCTTTACTATGAGTACCCTTCATTTTGGGAAACCATGTATAACATGTCTTCGGAGCGTTACGTATGGTGGGCTTGCTCGGTTCGCATGCCCACCACACCACCAAGCATTCTCGCACAAGTATCTTTGCCATAGCCGCTGGCTCGACAAGTTTTCCATGAAGTCCTGGAATGTCCATGGAGGTACACGGATGAACCATAAAGCTGTCAGTGCAGAACTCCCAGCAGAAACTTGCCGGCTCCCTGCAGTTCTAGGAAGACAACTGGAGGAATAGAAGCCCGGAAGCTCAAACCCACAAATCCCCATGGCTTCCTGCAAGCTCTGATTTCAGTCAACTCCACAACTTACTGGTGGTTAGTAGGGAACAAGGGAAGAACATCCTATATAATGCCGATATAACATCTTCCTTTCGTCTCTACGTTCTCCCTTTTGTCCCTATAGTATCCCTATACAACCCTTTCTAACCTTGTATTCCCTCATTTCCTACTAACCACCAGTGAGACAAGCCGATGGTGCTGACCTTAGCGAGCCGGCGGCTCGCTCGGAAGGCCCGGTTTAGGCTTTAGGGATTAGGGTTTAGAGTTTAGGGTTTAGGGTTCAGGGATTAGGGTTTATGGTTTAAGCAAAGGGTTTCGGGAACGGAAAACAAGTCAAACCACAAGACACAGGGTATGTATAAGAGTGATATACGGAACGGAAAAGAAGATGGAGACCCCACAAATAGGGTATATATGGGGGCTATATGGGGAATGGGAAACAAATGGAAGTTAATAAATGTAATGGAAATTAGGGTAGGGGCATTCTTGGGAACAGTTTGTGCTTGTTATGGATCATAATCCCTGCACAACCTCATATAACCCAACAGGACTAACTTTCTTATGGCGCCCTCAATCCTACCCTAGGATATTCCGCACCATCACAGGCCCTTTACATAGCTCAAGACAGCATAGACGATGTGAGTGCTTCCAAGTATGAACAGACTGCGGGCCCAAAGCCAACCAACCATCAGCATCCCTTTTTAGATAGCTAATGTGCGCGCATAACCCCTGCAACAGACTGCTGGGTGAGACTTATGTTTGAGCAATCAAGCTGGCACTTTGATCGGGGCCATAGTGCTTCCTCTTGCAATCTATTATCGGGATTATATAGGTTCATAAAGGGTGTATTATATAGGGATAATGATTATGAAGGGGTTATACATGTAACATCTGGAACTTTTTGCGCCGTATCGGCGTCATCAAACACGATCACTTTAAGACTCTAAGCAAGCGAAGGATGCGCAGAGAAGACTTGGGAATGCTTTCGCTGGAAGCATGTTATCTAATTTCCATATCATCCCGATACACCACCTACATTCTAAACTATAGTCCCCATAGATAATCCCGTAGAAGCCCTATGTAGACTATATTTGTAGGTAGTTACTTGGATGCATCGTTGTTGGGGCACTGACGTGTGGGCAGCTAGCGGTCAACCTGCCATCTCTTCTGCTGTGATGCTGCTGGAAAGTATGATGGATCACAAGCCCTCCTAAACCCTAAAACCCTATACCTTCATAAAGCCATAGGAATCTAATTGTTCTAGGGCTGCTAGATCTATCCCTATCTACAAGTAGCCAGGCATTTACTATACTGCCTTCAGCTGGCCAAGGCTTTTGTGAAACATTTAGAGACTGCGATAGAAATGGGGGGTGTTCCCAAAATTAGGGGTCTGCTTGTGGGGGGGTTCAATTACAAGGATTATCGTATTTTGGGGCGCATATTGGGGTTCCCCTGTTGTTGGACATCCCCCAAATTTGTTGTAGTGTATGAGGATGAAACGGCAAAGCACCTGGTGCCAGGGATGTTGAACGACAAGCCCAGAATCTGTCCAAAACTCCTTAAAGGCCAAGGGTGCAGTACTTAGTAAATGGATTGTAAGTGGGGCCTTCAAATAGTCCACCCCCAATTAAACTTAGGATTCTCCGCTTTTAAACTACTTACCTACGTCTCCAGCGCCTAAGGCCCAGACACAGCTAGGCTGGGCCCCCACCAATATGTGCCACCCCCCAAACTAACCATGCTTAATAAGCCCTAACCGGCATTGATAGGGCCCATAGTAGTCCCATGAACTAAGCTGCTGGAGGCGTTCCTGACTGCTGGCTGTACGTGTGCAGCCCTTCACCAGGCTTCGGCAAGTTTAGGGTTCAGGGCGAATGTAGTGGGGTCAAAAGAGTAAGAAGGGAAAAGAACGTAGAATCCAATATATTCTGTCTGGCATGACGATTATTTTCTCCCTGCAGGCTGTTATGATTCAAAGTTTTTTGGAAGCCGGCCACCATTTTTCGGCCTTCTGAGAACACCAAAGTAGGGTGTTTAGGGCACAGCAGAATCCGCAGCATGTACAAGCTGAGTTGGCACAATGTCTCTGCATGGTACTAGTTAGGACAGCCGCGGCACGATTTCTATTGCACGTTGATGTCTTTGGAGACTTTGGAGGGTGTTCTGTGCATGCTTCCATGAAAAGAGCCCTGAAGCCTCTAGAAACCTTGAGAACTTCAGTGCACGATGGACTCATCAGAATATTTCGTAGATGCTTTTGTCAATTTACGGGACGTCTCGCCGGGAATGTTGGACCGCTCAGCACCGCCTTGCGGTAGTACAAGACTTGAGTTGGGGCACATAAGATTTTGGTCATGTTTGGTTTAAAGGGGAATAATGTTGATAGCTATTCTGTTGGTCCCACAGTCATTCAGGCTTCTTGATTTTGCGTTGTTGACTTTGCAGATCAGTCCAGGCTGCGCGAGGCACATGGCGAGCCTTCTCCGCAGGACATGCTGGGCTGAAAGACCTGGGTTGCTGTGAAGGATTTCTTTGTAGATTTCAATAACAAGGAAACCCCATGATTTACTACATACCCATGATATGGCAACTTCAAAATTATTTCCTTGTAGCAACCCAAATAAATCAAAGCAGCTTCGCTTGGGATTGGCGTGGGTGTTTAGTTCAGTCAGTGTGCTGGCCTCACACTTCCTCAACTTTTGGCAAGGGGACTCGGAAATGCAGCGGGTGGTTTCCGTTCTCTTTTTCCATTATAGATACTACAGTAGTTTCCATTTTCTGCTCCAGTATTAGTACTATCTAGTGCGGAGCTGAGGTACTTCTTCCCAGCTGAGGTTGCAGCATGTCGGGAAGGCTTTATAAGGCCTTGCCAGATCCCATTCAAGCCAAGTGTGCTGGGCCTTTCACATTTGAAAGGCGTCTACTGCTCCTTGAAGCATGAACTGCATACATTTGTATACTGTGAATTACTGGTGTATTCCTGACAATATGTTTCATCCGATTCTCCATTATAGGGGGTAATAGATGTCCCGTATATAATGACATCAGACCGCACCACAAGCTCCAAGTCCAGGAGCTGCGCCACACATTGAAACGCCGCTCATTTATTCGGAGGCAAGCTTGAACATTGGGATGTCCAATATTTTTAATACCAACATAAGAAAGGATTGTGGCAATAACAAAGGTAACAAAAGTGACAATTTAGGAAGCAGAATTGCAATTGTAAGGTCTCTGGGGTTGGCGGTTGGCAGTTGTCCACAATCCGCCTTGTTTTTAGAGATGCAACTTCAGACTGCAAGCAGTTTACTTGCAAGCACCATGATTTCTTTCCCTCTTGCTTACTTGTAGGTGCCAGATGACGAAGAGATGCTCTGCACCCTGTATCACTCCGTGGCACTACCACCCCGTTTGGTAGATGTCCCTATATATATCCCCTATAACCCCTTGAAAGGAAACCCTGATTTATGGAAACCCGATCTAGCAGCAGAGAGCACATAGCTGCACAGGCTTTCTCCAAGCAGCTGGGTGCGGAAGTCTACCTGCAGCTGGCCGCAAGAAAGTGAACTAAGTGGTGTGTTTACGCGGCCCTTGAGGAGGGGGTCCTGTACGCTTGTGGCTGACATTGCATTCCGCTGCATCAAGCAGATGTTGCGCAATGCTAGTTCAAGTTTTGGCCTGCGAAACAATGCCAAATTCCGAGAAGTCCTTACCCACAGCCTAGGAAGCTGGACTTGCTCCAACCCTCCGGATCCTTCAAGCTGCGCGGTATTGGAGAGACAGTGCGTGAGGCATTCCGTAAACGGTTTTTGTTTGGAGGGCTGGGATGCTTATTACACTGTCCGCACTAGCATGCATGCACAAATTGGAAGATTTGGAAGGGGTTAAGTCGACACCTAGCCGGGAATGCGATCTAGATCCTGCCCGGTGAATGTATATTAATACAGAACACAAGGTACACACCAAACACACAAAGAGCTGAACATTTGCTCACAGGCCTGCCTTCAATTTGGGTGTTAATCTTCGCGAAAGCCAACGCATGACTGCCCTCCCTGACTTGCTTTCATCAGGAAGGCTTTGACATGTTGTGGGATTTCGATACTTCCCGACATGGGCGGGGTTGAACCCAGAGCTTTGATTATCTTTGTATCTTTGCGGAGCTTGGTGCGCATGTTCACACCATGCTTCTGCTGCAAGAACTGGCTCAGCGCTAGCCAACAGGCCATTGACATAGCGCCGGGACGTGCGGCAAATAGATGCTGTCCTGAAGTCGCTAGTGCTTGCAAGTCGCGATCGCACCGATGGCCAGGCATTGCTCAGCAATGAAAAGACACAGCAGCGCCGGCTGGCAGCAAGGCGGATGCAAGAAAGCATCAATGCCGTAACACTGCAGCTGAGCGGCTTGGAGTACCGCAGAACGTGAGGGAAAAGATGCAAGCGACGCCGCGGGCCCGCATGAAAGTTATCATGTTGATGATGGCGCGGTCGGAGGGGCGTTGTAGACAAACTGGCGAGATCTGCAGCCACATCTCGCTTCCAGTGGCCGGGAAGAAGACGCGGGAAGAGCAAGCCCTTGACTCCAAGGGGACCAGCCGAGCAAGCCAAAACAGAAGACGGGATAGTGGTGGTGGTGGGGGTGGTAGTAGTAGTAGCAGCAGCAGCAGCAGCAGTAGAACGTCACCAAGATGATGCCCTTTCGTCCGTGATCTTCTGGAGGCACTTCAAGACCTCAGCGCCGACATCTTCGCGAGGCCCAGCATCCACCATGAGGACCCTATAGCCACGCTTCTTCAACATTTTGCGTACCTCACGGATCATCTGCTCATTTCCGTCGAATCGGACTGAGAAGAATGCAAGTCTTGAGTTGGATCCATGTGGCAGCCACGGTAGCTGTTTACCTCTCGGACGCAGCATGCGAAAGAGGGCTTAGATGTCTTGCCTGTGCAGATGACGGCCAACTACTCTCCAAGCCCGCCAAGCCATTTTGATGCTCAGGGTGACGGGCGTGCTTTACTGAACATGGCGTTGAAAAGATCTATTGTCAAGGTGGATGCGCGTGGCAAGGCCCCATCAAGTATTGCCCGGGATATCAGCAACAACTTGCAGCTTCCCAGCTGACCGGGTGGGCCATGCATGAGAGTCGGCACTGCAAACAGAGCAGCTGCACCTGTTTCAAATGACATGTGAAGCACGCGTTAGATGGGGAAGACGCGATGAGATGATGTGGATATCTATGCTTCTTAACAGGGAATACCCGGGTAGATTTCCAGCGCTACCTGTAGATCCAAAAACGATGCTTGCTTGGCTGTATGGGTTTTCATTGATAATTATGGGCATTTTCAAAAATTACGGGCGCAGGTGTAAATTATGGCCGAAGTCGTGGAAGGTGGTATTCAAAAGTATGACCAAACAGCGCTTTAACACCTCTCCTATACAATGGCTGTTTGGTGTCCGAAAGCTGGCTTTCAACCCCAGGGTCTTCTTTCGAAACATGGCTTTGTGGACGTTTTGGATTGGAGCCCTGGCTTTCGAGGCCCGATTCTATGGTTGTTCTGCTTCATCTTTATGAGCCTGGGCTGGATTTACGGGCGTTGGACCAAACGCAAAGTTCGAGAAATCATATTTGTTCGAATCCACTTGCGCCGTCCGGGCAGGACACTTCGAAGTTATGCCAATTTGTGCATTTTTATGGTTTGTTTTGCCTTTTTGCCAATTGATTTTTATGGTTGTTTTTTAAAACGTCCGGTGGCCTCGAAATCCCTACCATATAGCCGCGAAACACTTCGAAACCCGCCTTCCGAAAACCTTTCGAAAAAAATTGCCGGGCCACTTATGTCATGGTATAGGACATGATAAGTACGGGCGCTTCGGAAATTACAGGCGTTTGTTTTTTGATGGCCGTGGTGGTTGGGAACTAGCATTTTATCGTCGTTTCGGAAATATTTTTTTTCGCTACCGATGCTTTATCAGGGTTTTTGCAGCTGCAAGCATTTACATGCGTTTGCTCCCATGCTTGCCGTTGCTTGCGAAGCAACACTTGCTGCATTTTTCGTAGGGGTTTCTCAAGCTTCCATATTGCCAGCACAGGCCAAGCGAGATGGTGCATCGTGCATTGTGTCTTCCAGCGGCGGAAATGCCACCTGCTGGCACATGGAACCACTTTGCTGCTTGCAGGTAGGCTTCCGTGACCTGGATTCTTTAAGAATGTTAAGAATGTGTAAAGGCCTCCACAACGGTCACCAATTTATAAGTGCACCCATATAGTGAACTTCAACATGTGGCCACCTTAACTTGCATCCGAGCTTGGGGATGGCTTGGGTTGCAGATGTCGGGGAACAGATTGGAAGATCTTGGGACGGACACCAAACTGCAACGACCCAGGTCAAAGCATGCAGCTGTGTAACATTGTTCGCATGCAGGCTGACCAAGCACTTGAAGTCGAAAACTGCGGCGGTAACATGTTGTAGAATTGGAATATCACTGAAAGTGTAGCGAAAGTTCACTCAGACAGGGGTAAGGGCAAACAGGGTCAGAGATGGCATGGGTGGGTCGCATGTGCTTCCCTGCGGCTGTTCACCCATTTAAAGCATCCCGAAGCAAAAAATCATTGTAAACTCTTACCTAGCAGAAGCCTTCTGTTCAGCCTTCTATTCGCTATATGGTAATTTTCCTAAAGCCCCTATATATACCCCAAAATACTATAATCCTTATTGTAGGGACCTCATGATGGTGCCCCTAATGTTGGGGAACCCCCATATCTCAACACGATAAAGGATCAGCCTCGCCTCTCCAAGGCTGGCCTTGCAGCGGCCTACGCCGCTCGGGCATGCGGGCTTCCATGCACGGCGGCCGGGCTGAGACGGGGCCACACTGGTGCGGCCAAAATTGGAGGTCTCACAAAATTAGAATTACCCTTTTGAGAGTCCCCAGTAGAAGCAGCATAGTATTTTGGGTCTATATGGGGGTCCCCACTATTTAGGGAAACCATTATTCGAGGGTTGCCAACAATTACAGGTCCTTTTTCAGTCAAAGGCTTACAGCAGATATACAGGAGCATATTGGCGCTTTATAATGCCGTAGGGCTTCCAACAATTAAGGGTCCTTGTTTAAGAGGCTGCGGGAATAAGGCCTTTTGTATTTTGGGGTCTATGTTGGGGTCCCTCGACTTATGGAAGCTACTAAAACTTCAGAGTGAATGTCAAGATGATAGGAGTATATATATATGTATATATGCACATGATGGTAGATGTCACACTCATCCTCCACCCATGCAACTTGGCACGCCCCGGTGCATGGGTTTGGCATCAAGCATCACTAGCCGCTTGCCCGCGATGATGTATGAGTAGGCCAAATGATTTGACTTATAACCCCGTCCATAACCCACTTCCTAAGTCCCTTGGGCCACTAAGTAAGCTCTCGCCCACCCTCCAGACTAGAAATTAGCTGGAAGCTTGAAAGCTCCGAAGTCGATTCAGTTACCGAGTCCCACAGGCCTTGAACCCATGAGGAGTCATGCTGCGCTTGGGAGTTTCCATCAATAGAGGGACCCCGTATAGACCATAGTATACGTTGATACGGAGTAGGGGAGCCCCTAAAAAAGTGCCCCTAACTGTGGCAGCATCTGCAGAAGATGCTGATGCAAAAAAGGTGCAAGCAGTGTTCAACACGCTCCAAACATCCACGTTGATAGCTGAGGATGTATGGGGACTGCAGGAGGATAATTATTTGCGTCCTCAGTGCGTATTATATATATATATATGGATTATGCGTCCGCATGGGATTGTATTGAGAAACTCCCATCTGCAGTCAGGCCACTCTAAATTCATGCGCAGTAAGATCTTTCAGAGTCCAGGGTTCCGTCTTGAATCATACCAGGCCAAGTCTGAGATGGACCCGTGATGCCCAAAACCCAAACTCTAGACCCCAACCGTTCTACAATTCCACGATGATTACCAGAGTTTTGTCATTTGCTTCTGAAGATGCGCTGACAACAAGGATGATGATGATGATGATGATGGCGATGATTATGGTGACATGACAGCTCCGGCAGCGATGGTAATTAGTCGTGGCTGTTGCATTTTTTGTGGGTATCCCTGTCTGTGAGGTTGTGCTGCCTAGCTCCACGCCGGAGCTCATTCGTGATCGACTAGCAGGTTATGGGGCCGAGGCGAAGCAAGCTCTGACGCTTCTCTCTGGGATTTTATGGGAATACCTTGTAATTGCTATCATGCCAAGATATTCCCAAGGATGACTGTTTTCTACGGGCCCCTAGATCTATTCCAGCTGTGGCTCCTACGGTCGGGATGCTGCGGCGAGTATTGGCCATAGATTCGGAGGGTTCATCAATGTGCCATGATTGCGGTCCTCGAATCAGTGATGATAAGGAGCTGAGTCGTCTTGCAGACATTTGGCCGACTAAACAGGGCTATGCTTGAATCTTTGTTCTGCATTTATAACATCTATGTGAATCTATGTAATCCCTATAAAGCCATCAACATCGAATTTGTATACCGCCTCCAAACCTAGGCGAGCAAAGCTGATTCTCGTGTAAGGGCGCAGCAGCAGC